CGTAGGCCGCCCGCGCGTCCCGCCGCGGCCCAGGCCCAAGCCCCTCGGCCGCCCGAGCGCAGCGCGTCGCGGGCCGGGAGGAGGCGGAGGAGCAGGACTAGGCGCCGCCTTCCCCGCGCCGCGCGCCCTCGCTGTTGTCTGCGCTCCGCTCTGGACCAGTTTGGGGAAGTTGCCCCGGCCCCGCGCCGCCCAAATGTGCGACCTCATTGAGCCGCAGCCGACTGAGAAGATCGGCAAGATGAAGAAGTTGCGGAGAACTTTGTCTGAGAGTTTCAGCCGCATCGGTGAGTGGCCCGCGGTACCCCCGCGCCCCGCCGCCGACCCGGAGCTCGCTCCCTTGGCTCCGCGCCCCCGCCGCTCTCGGGGCACCGGCGGGCAGGGTGAGCTGCGGACCAAGGAACGGCACTGGGGACCCCGGGGAGGGCGGGGATCAACCGGAGAGCCACCCCTCTCCCCAGGATCCGGGCTTCATTCGTGGACTGTCTCAAGCCTTCAATTTGGGTCCCTCCTCCCGCCGCTAGTGCTCTATGTTTCGCGCCCGCGGGGGACCGGCGAGGGGACAGCCACCCGGTCCCCACCGCCCTCGAGGCGGTGCGGCCACACCGGTTACTTGCAATTTTTAAAGATCTGGCTTTGGTGTTGGGTGTTTAGTCAATTATTTAGCGTTGGGTATTATTAAAACGATTCATCTTAAAGTGGGACAGGTACCTTGGGACCTTTTGGTCCGTTCTTTGCCTCCTGAAAAAGAGATTTGGTTGTTCAGTACGTAGGTCTCTGAATCTTCCAGCTGCTGGAGAGAAATGTGAACTCTCTGGACCTTTACGAATAAGTATCCCAAACTTGCTTCTTTTAGTAGAGTTCAAGGGCTATTGTCTTTAAATCAACCAACCTAACTGATTAACAAAATACAACCAAGGAATACTTAAAAACAAATGTGTGTCACAAGCTGTAGCATGGTGACAATAGTGTCATGAGGAATAGGTTTGTTCAATTTTGAGTGTTAGCCGTAGAAAACGCCCGTTAACCTGAAGGCACAACTGCCTCCCTGTCATAACTATTAGATACAGGTAACTGCGCTCAGCAAGGGAATCCTATAAGCCCCCAAACCAGCCCATCAGATTGTCCAAGTTTACCTTCTGACCTTTCATTCACATGTTATCATGTTAATGAAGGTGTTAATGTAAATTAATCATGAACATGCTAATTCCTTAAAATAAAACCCTGGCATGCCAGTGACTGTTAACATGCTCTACATGTTCATTGTTATATATGCAAACTCTCTTCAACTGAGACGAAACATGGCTCAGAATTTAGTCGAGGTTTTTTTAGCCTTTCTTGAGGTGGCTGTAGTTACGGTGGGGTCAGTATGCATGTTTTTACTTATCGAATATGTTGGATATTCACAGTTTCTTCTGAGTTAGGGATGCATATGTGGAGCCTTACATTCAAATGAAGTTTGAAACCAAAAAGAGTTGAGACTGAGGTGTGGAGTCCTGTGCATTATTAACAAGGATGTTTCAGTGCTGGACCCAAACCACCACATGGTTGTCTTCTGGAGCCCATTAAGCTCTGTTCTAAAGCACAGTTAACTGGATATTTACTAATGCTAATGACTCCGTTGGAGCCTCTCCAGTTTTGTGTTAAATAATTCATTGCAGTTGAATCTCAGTAAGAAACCAAGGACATTAATATAAAAATCCTATATGTTTAAATAAGTTCATGGTTTTGATGGACAATCAGTAAAATTTAGGTTAGCTGCAATGCTGGCTAATAGGTATTATAGTTAATTGGGTTTTCTAGATTACTGAGATTTAGTGATGTGAAACTCCTTTTGAATTTGACTCTTCATACAATATCTCCTATGATCTAGTGGCTTTTACATTTACCCTTTAGGAAACAGTACAGCTGAGTGAATGTAGCTGATCATTTCTTGTATTGAAGGACTGTGATTCAGAAGAGCAGATCCTATTGTGATATTCTGTGAAGAGAAATAATGACATTTTAAATGATTTAGCTGAGTGTGTACCAAACCCAGGATATTTATTAGAAATAGCATTGCTGGAGCTGGAGAGAGGCTCAATGGTTAAGAGCACTTAACTGCTCTTGTAGAGGACCTGGGTTCCATTCTAAGCAATCACATTAGGCGCCTCACAGTTGCCTGTAACTTCAGGTCCTATGGATCCATGGGCAGGCACCTGTACACACATGGTATACATAAACTCCTGCAGGCACATATACATATACATAAACAAAAATAAATATTAAAAAGAAATAGCATTACTTAAAAATCCTATGTACTTTTTTTCACAGCAGCAGTGAACTCATTTTGATGAGCAAAGGATTTTTAAGGAGCTAGGAAGCAGTTGAGTGAGCTTTAACTATGGATTCATATGGTTCAAGGAATGTGGTCTGTGTGTCAGATGGGATTCTTCATGTTGCTGTTCCTAGCTGAGTGACCTTGGATAGATTCCTTCACCTTTGCTGAGTCTCAGTTTTTCATGTATCTTTTTTTTTATTGGCACTTATTAAATAATGTATAAGATGTCTTCTGTGGCATGTAATGAAGATTCAATAAATGTTTGATCTGTGTTATTATTAGGGATTATATCATGTGACTCTCTTATAGGTAGAGAGCAAGAGAAAGAAAAGTGGCCATGGATTTGTATTGAGGATCCTGAAAATAGTATGGGTTTTGGAGTTAGACAGACCTGGGGATTGTACCTGTCTTTCCCTGCTTGTCTCGGGCAACCAGTAATTCCTTAAACTCTTGAGTTCTCTCCTGTAAATATTTGTGTGATACAGGCAATAGAAATGCTTAATTTGTCACATATCACAGACCATGCTGACTTTGTCATTATCTACCCCAAACATAACTGATCTGAGATTACTACATTACAAAAAGGGCTAATAAAACACATTGACTTTCAAGCAGTAGGACTCTAATTTACGACATCTGCCAGGGAATGACTGTAATATAGTCATAGTTCTTTTATAAGATGGGTGTAATTGAATTTTAAAGTCAACCATTAATTTCCATGGTGAGAATTTATGGTCTCCTGCTAAATAGTGTCAGTGTGGACACTTATTTAAGAATACCTGGCTTTCCTCCCTTTTTAACTTTTAGGCTAAGATAAACAGGAATTCAGTTGTTGAGTGGCTCAAATGTCCCTTTCTTTTCTTTGTTTCTTTTCTAATCTTGACTGGTAGCTAGGAGGATAAAGGCTGTGGAATTCTGTATGATTAAGGTCTCCTGACACTTTTTCATTTTCACGCAACTGCATTTCTTCACACTTACTTGGATTCTTTCTTAGAGAAAGGAACTTTACACTGTGTTGAGATGAACCCATGTATGTAAGAATGCAGCTAGTGAGAAAACTTAATAAAAAAAGGAAGCTATGATTATGCTGAATTTTTGTGGGTTTGATACTTTCTGCTGTAGGTCTCCAGTTGTCATTGAGAACTGAGAAATGTATTGTGCCATGTTCTTTCCTGATCAACCTTACAAGATTTTTAATTTGGGCTGGAGATGTAGCTTAACAATCCAGAGCTTGCCTAGTATGTGTGAGGCCCTGAGTTCTATCCCTACTATCCCTAGTGTGCATGCACAGAGAGAGAGAGAGAGAGAGAGAGAGAGAGAGAGAGAGAGAGAGACAGAGACAGAGAGAGACAGAGAATTAAAAAACTCCTGAACCTCCAGTTCCTGAGAAGTAACCGACAGACAGAGAGAGACAGACAGAGAGAGACAGACAGATACAGAGACAGATACAGAGAAAGACACAGAAAGATTGTACTTAAACTTAACATAATGGAACTTGTATTTATGGTTATTACATAAGAGAAAATCAGGTTTTCCTTTGCCAGAATTCTAGTCTATATTAAAATATGGGCGCTCTCTTGTTGCCATTGAGATGGGATGTGTGTCGCATTGAGCAACAATGAGAAGCCAGGCTAGCACCCAGAGTTCGTGAGCTGTGTGGCAGGTGCGTCTCCTCAAGGGTTTTAATGAAAAAGGCAGGCCAGTGAATGGGCATTGCCAGCATCAAGTGACACATCTATAATGAATACTAGTGAAACTTGCTGCTGGAGAACATAGCAGGAGTACTGCTTTGAGCTTGGTGAGGTAATGGGAAGCCCTTTAGGAACAGAGTTTGAACAGAGGACCAAACAGAACATCTGATCGTGTTAAGGGGCTTAATATACAACCCTTAACACAATATGTTTGTTGTTCTGTGCTATCCTTGAGAACAATTGTGGTTTTACATTTACATAAATGATTAATGACAATTAGGGAATGTAATCAATAGCAAGATGTTTTGTGCATGTATAGGTCAGTTTATTCATCAGTGACCTGGTAAGTATCTGGCAAGCATACCTTTAATTGGTCTTTGTTGTCACTGTTAACTGCTTTTTAGGGTAAAGATTCAGTATTTAGAAGAAACCATGTATGAAGTGTCAATCTAGCAATGAAAGATTTCAATTAAGTAATAGGCCTCTTGGTCCAACTCTGTTCTTCCCTGTGGTACCCAGGGCCAGAGAGCATTTTGCAGCAGAGAGAATCTGTCTTTTCCTTACATCTTAGCAAATGCACCTACCATTTCTTCTTTTATTATCTCAATCTCTGGCTAACATCAGATCCATATCTTTTGTTGTTGTTGTTGTTGTTAGTATATATTTTTTATTGAATTTTTGTGTATTTCATACAAAATATCTTATTCATCTTTATGCCTCCTCCCCCATCCACACCTCCTCATAGTTCAATGCATTCTGTCATATATATTAAGGCCTATTAAGTCAAGTTAGTGTCCCCAGTCTTCTCTCAGTACAACTTCATCAACTGGGGTCTAGTCAGCCTATCCAGAATCTCTCCCTTAAAGAAGATTAACTCTCTCTCACCTGGCAGTAATCAGCTGCCCGTAGTTCTGCTAAGGTTGGGGCATGCTGCCCAGTTCCCCAGTTCTATGCTGGATTTTTGTCTGCTTGAGTTTGCACAGGTCTTCTACTTGCTGTCACTACTGCTGTAGGTTCATATGAGCAAGGTTCCATATGGTCATGCGCCTCCTCCCCTGGCTCTTACAATCTTTCCAACCCATCTTCCACAGTGATCCCTGAGCCCTGGGTAGGTGGTTTTATATAAATCCTGTCCAGGGACACACACTCTGCAGACTCTTATTTTCTACACTTTGACTGTTCACGGCTTTTTGTGTTCATTGCCCCCTGTTGCATATGGAAACTTTGTTGATGAGACAGATCCACATCTTTAGTTAAGATGGTGGGAAATTGTTAGAGCTATGGAGGCAAGAAGAAATGGGCCAATGGGAATGTTTAAGACACTTTTCCCCACTCTTTGGTTCTCAATTTCATTCCATGTTGCAGTTCCAAAGGATGATAGCACCAGCCGTACTTCAGCTTTGCTTCAGAAAACGTGTGGCTAATCTTCAGAACGTTTATAATGTCCAGAGTAGAGAAGAAAAGTTTGTGTTCTGAATCATAAGCTTATGGCATAACCGTCATGTGGTTGTGCTCCATTCATCCTTGTTAAATGGACGAGGGAGAAGGCTATACTTATTTGCACATATGCTTCTTTGTATTTGAAATCAATGCTAATCCAAAAAAGTTTTTTTAAAAAATGGAGCAACTTGTGTATATTTAGAATTATGTCACTGGTATTTTGTAAGGGACTCACTAGGCAAATATATTAATTAAAGTACACAACTTTTAGGGTTGAAAGAGAGTTTCTAGATTAGAAGTTAAATTCCACTGAAAATTTAGTAGAAATCATCTAGGATATTTTACATACTTTCAAGATATTTAGGTCTAATCTTAGTTAAGAACAGTATAGTGTAATATGCATAAATTATTCATTTCAGAAGTAGCTAAGGTTGGGACAAGGACTGACTTCTAGTTTCTGTTCAGAATAATTAATTCTCTCACGAAGAAAGTAGATAAATCTATTATAGATCAGTGTCTTAGGCAAAAAGGGTAAGGCTAAAAACTAACTCTGCCAGCCCGCAGCCCCTTAGCTTACTACCACACAATTACAAACTTCTTGAGCTTTTTAGAAAGACAAATTTATGGTATGAAACAGAGAGAAAACTTTTTCCAAGATTGCTAGAAGGCCAGATGTGGTGGCTCATGCCTGTAATCCCAGACCTTGGGAGGCTGAAACAGGAGCATCATGCAAGTTTGAGGCCAGACTGGGATACAGAATGAATGAAACCTTGTCTCAAAAACCAAACCACACCACACTACACACCACACCACCCTGTTAGAGTATATAAGCTTTTATATGGCAGTTTCTGTTTAGGGACATTAGTTTGCTTAGAACTTAATTACAAGAAAATTTTTTCTTTTCATTGCTTTTATCAGAGCATAGCGTTTCAAGTAACAGATACCCAACCCTTTCTATCTAGACAGGTACTGTCTATGATGGACCAATAAACGCCTATGCACAATTTTGTACATTTGAAACATTTCTGCAACTAGTAGTTTCAGAGAATGTAGTTTCGTTGTGTATTTCCCTCACCATGGAACACTAAATAATTGTAGGGTTTGATAACTAGATGTTTGGCTTTTTCTTTTTTTCACTATTTTAAAAAATATTTATTATTTTTATTTTTATGTGTATGAGTATATTGCCTGCATGTATGTTAAGTACACCCATGTCATACAGTGCCCGTGGAGGTCAGAAAATGGTGTCGGATCCTTTGGAACTGAAGTTATGGAAGGTTGTTAGCTGCCATGTGGGTGCTGGGAATCAAACCTGGGTCTTCTGCAAGAGCAGCCAGTGCTCTTAACCACCGAGCCATCTCTCCAACCCCTATTCTTTTTTTCTTTACAGTGATAAAATTTAGTTCTAAAGTTAACTATATTTAAGATAAATTTGAGATATTTCTCAGTTCCCTATAAAACGTTTGCATGTAGCCAGGCGTGATGGCACATGCCTTTAATCCCAGCACACAGGAGACAGAGGCAGGTTGATCTGTGAGTTCAAGGCCAGCCTGGTCTACATAGTGAGTTCCAGGACAGCTGGGGAGACCCTGTTTCAAAAAGCTCTCCCCCCAAAAAAAAGTCTTTAAAAATACTTTGCACTTGGTCTTTTATTATCATGCTTAAACTTTCCTTTGTATGAAAATCTCATTTTGGACACTGTACAGAATGTTATCACCCTAACAGTTGGTTTGGGAGGTCTGTAAAACTCACATCTTGAAAACCCAGAAGTTTGAGAGGAAATTTCTTTGAGATTCCTTTTATTTCTACTAAAGTGTGTTCGATTGAGGAAGAGATGGGGGACGATATGCTTCTTTCCCCTATTTGGGAGGATAGTTCCATTTACATATTTATGAAAAGTGTTTCACAGAGATGCATGCTGTGCAATTCGCTGTCTTATTTGCAGTTTGTGTTTGTATTATAACATTGTTATTCAGGTTGGGGTACAATTTTACTTTCTGAAATGAAAACACCATATTGCTTTTCTCTCTGTTTTCTAGAACTTAGAGACTTGGGCTCTTTGGGACATTTCATAGTAACTTTTTTCCTTTTTCTTTTATAGCTTTGAAGAAAGAAGACACTGCCTTTGATGAGGTAGGCTAAATTTCTTCATCTGATGTTTGGTGTATTTTAATAACTGTTAGGTAAAGACCATAGGTGCCAACTCTGCACTTCGAAACAGAAAAAAAAAATGTTTGAAGAAAAAAGTGATAACGTTTGCTTATTTAGTTACATTATTCTCAGATTTCAAATAGTCATTTAAATGTGTTTTGTAGTGATGATCCTTACAAGCTTGTCTTTGAATCAGTAAACAAAAGCCACATGCACATGTCTGGGACAGGCAAGTGTAGAGTTGTTGGTGATGGACAGCAAGGTGCCCTACAGACCTGGCTGAGTCAGGGTGTGCTGTGTTGATGGTGCACACTGTCTGTTGGTCTCCCCAAGGACAAGCTGATTTTTCCTGTTCTAGTTTCCCCATTCTTGAGGTATCAGATGGGTGTCTATCCACTTGCTACAAAGTAGTAAAAATGCCTAGCCAAGTAAGGCAGAAGGTTCATGTGTTACAGCATTGTGAATGTGATTTTAAAACTGTACTTCCTTGACCTTTTGTTACTGTTTGCAGGGAGTTACAGAGTGAAATGTTTCATTGTAACCATCTAAAGTCAGTCATGGATCTGTGTTATAAAATGTATGTATGTTTGTGCATGTATATATTTACACGTGAACAGAGATGCATCTACACCACGCTCCTACTCCACAGCCTAATGAATGCATAAATGAGTTGGCTTTGATTGTTTAACATTTGCAGATTCCATGAAATCTGCTCCCTGTCCTCCGTCTACTGCAGTGAGGACAGAGCAAGTATGCTCATGGAATGTCCCTTGGACCATGTGCTGGTGCTGTTGCACGGGCAGGTCCACACAGGAAGAAACTGCTCCAGGCCCAGATTTCTGGATGGTGCCAATGTCACTTGGCTGCCATGGTCTGCTGCTTCCTCAGCTGCACCTGTTCTGTTTTCTCTGGGATGAGCCCTGCAAAGCTGTGTCGCTGGACCCCAAAGCAACTTCCCTTGCCAGCATTCCTGTAACATCCTCCAAAGCTTATTTCTTTTAGTTCTGAAGCAGTAGAAGAGTTTTTCCTTTTTCATTCATGCTAGGCAGTAATGGTGTTTCCCTCCAAACCTGTATTTCTGGAATTTCAGCTGTTTTGTTACCAAGATGTTTTCAAGAGTATTTCTTCTTAGGAGAAATCAGTGTGAGATTATTGGGCACCTTTTCTTTCTTTCTAAAGAAAGATCTCCCCTTTAATTATGGAAGTAATTTAAGCTTATATAAAAAGAGAAAAATAAAGGGAGGAAGAAGAACTCCTAAATCCTGTTATCTAGATATAACCACTATTGAATAGTCTTGCTTCTTTCTCCATGTTTTAAAACTTGTAACCCTCTATTATGTACTACTTTCCGCTTTGAGGTTAAACATGATATTTTTCCATGTCTTTACAAGCTCTTCCTAGTCATTGCAAGGAATTAAAAAACAACACAAAACCTGTTTTCTTGTATACACCATTGTTGGATGTGTGTTAGTTTGTCTCGTGGTTGTATGTACCTTTAACTAAATAAACAAGCAGATAAAACTGAGGCTAGAGCAGTGGTGAAGAGCATAGAAGGAGCAAGTTGGAGTCTGCTCCTCTAACCTTCATTCTGAAACCTCTGGGGAGTCAGAAGTCTCTGTCATTTGGACCAAATCAGCTTCCACACAGTGTTTTCATTCTTCTGTGGCATGGAGATTTGTTAAATACTGTAAATCAGTAAGTTATGGAATGCCAGTCCTAGGAGAATGATGGAATCCATCATTTCCCCATCCCTTCATATCATAGATGAAGATATTAAGATGCAGAGGGACAGAGTGATTTTCAGCCAATCAAGGGAAACTTAGGGTCATGACCTCGGAGACAGTAGCTGTGCAGGCATGCCCAGGGGCTAAACCCTAACACACCTGCCTGCAGTTGAGCAATTGCTGTTTATTCCACAGGTTCTATAAAACAGATGATAACAGTATTTTCCTCTTAAGTTATTTGAGAAGATTAAAGTAATGTATATAAAGATTCTAGAATAGGGCTTGAGAGATGGCTCACCAGTTAAGGGCCCCGAGTGCTCTTGCAGAGGAACTGGGTTCAGTTGCCAGCACCAACATGGTGGCTGACAGCCATCTGAAACTCCAGTTCCAGGGAATCTTATGCCCTCTTCATGGGCATTGCATGACACGGGTGTACTTGCATACATGCAGGCAATACACTCATATACATAAAATAAAAATAATAAATATATAAAAAAGATTCTAGAATAATGACTCACAGTTGGTGTTATCATTTTCATTGCTTTCATCAGTATCATCTTCTTTGACACACTAACCATGATATCCACCTTCTCTAGTTGGAAGGAAAATGGAAGGATTCAATTAGAAATTAAGGCTAAAGGGGCTGGAGAGATGGCTTAGCAGTTAAGAGCACTGACTGCTCTTGCAGAGGACCAGGTTCGATTCCCAGCACCCACATGGCAGCTACAAACCGTCCTTAACTCCAGTTCCAGGGGAATCCGAAGCCCTCTTCTGACCTCCGTGGCATTGCATGACATGGGTGGACTCACATACATGTAGGCAATACAGTCATACACATAAAATAAAAATAATAAATAAAATATTAAAAAAATGCCATGTCAGGACCTGAAGATGGACTTGGGGATGGGGAGGAGTGGGGGTGCCTCTGAATCTCTCTGTCCTTCCTCCCAGTGTGGTCACATTGACCAAAAAAAAAAAAAAAGAAATTAAAGCTATGAAGAGATTTGGTTTCAGATGTACCTCCAAAATCTCATATATGGCTTTGTGTGACAATTTATATATTAAAACAATATTGCCTAAAAATTATTTTTAGTGCCCACAAGGAGGTGATCACATTTACCTTTGTAGTTCCAGGGTAAGTTACACATGGTTAACATAGAGTAAGTATTTATCAAATATGAGTAAATATCTGTTGCAGAGAACCAGAGAGAATGGCCTGAGTGACAGGCAGCTGGGGTTCTCACTTGACACTTCCTAGCTATTTGGGCAAGTTAGTTACTCATCTCAGTCCTGGTTGTCTCCTTTGTAAAAATTAACCATTTATACTACGGTCTTCAAGATGCTTAGGGCCTAGTATAGGAGTCTAAGCAACAGTAATGGCCCACATAAAAGTAAAATCTTATCAAGATCAATGAGGCACCCTAGATATATGTTTATATAAATAGGAAGTTATAGTTCTTCTGGGATCATTTTCAGATTGACTTGGTAGAACTTTTCTTGAATGTGTGGTTTTCTCCTTTAACTTCCCCTGGAGTTGGAATCCAGTCTCCACAGTCTGTTGGAATTCACTTGAGATTGGAGTCTTGCCACTTGAGGTCAGTTTCTTAGCTATGCAGCAAGGTGTGGCAGCTCTCTCCTGACAGTGTATGAGCTGTAGGCTCCTTATCACAAGGAGTGGCTCTTCCAGAGGCTGCCTGGCCTGGAGTGTGGTGGCTGCGCATGTTTGACTTTGAACAGAGAACAAGAAATACACTTTACTTAGTCTTTGACTGCAATGCTTTTCTAGTTTTGAAAGCAGCCTGAAATTGTATTTAGGAACTGTGTAAAGCAGGTTATGGACATGCATACATTCACACATGTATGGTTGTGCTTGTGTATGTGTGTGTTTATATATGACCAGTTTGGAATTAAGTATTGAGGTAGGGCATGTTGCTGAAACCCATCTTGGTAGGAGGAAGGACGTTTTAAGAATGGTCATCTGCCCTTCGTTGTGTACTTATTTGAACCCGATTAAAACGTTGGCCAGTTTATGTTTTCTGGATTAAATCTGTACTTTTGGCTTGGATGGACTAATTGGGTTTAAAATTTCTAAAGATGTTTCTTTTTTTTTTTTAACCCGTGTCTCCACTACCAGTTTTAGGCTCACTTTTCAAACTGACCAATGGATGTTTGGCTCCTCAGGGTTTGGCATAATACTTGGCTAAAATGAAGGGACCAAATAAATTTTGGAGGAACAAATTAGGTAGATTGGAGGAAGAATTTTCTTATGTCTTCATGGGCATGGAGGTCCACTGTGATGTGCTCTCCACTATGTGTCTGTGGCACTGTCTTGGAACTTTGTGAATGTCTTTTAGCAGTTCTCTGCCATTTCCTCCCTGTGGCCATGTTCTTCCTTAGGCAGTGAGCCTATAGTAGTGAACCTATACTATGCTTTCAAGTGAATTATTGAATCTCAATTTTTTATTTAATGATTTGTCTTAGAATAATAAATAATACCTTGATATAAGTTGAGAAAATAGTTAAACTTCACCACATACAAAGTCCTTTGAATTTCAGAGACAAAAGCTCCAGTAAGGGTGAATGTATATAGTTGGGAAAAAAAAGGAAATCTTTGAAGTTATAGCAATTCATGATTTTTTTCTGATTAAATTAGAAGTTAAATTGTATGGTTCTGTTTTGGATGTAGAGAAAATAAGCTCAGATGAGGAGCTAGATCAAATTGTTAACTTTTTTTGATGAGAAGTGTAGAAATTTTAGGCCAGGCGTGGTGGCGCACGCCTTTGATCCCAGCACTTGGGAGGCAAAGGCAGGCAGATCTCTGTGAGTTCAAGGTCAGCCTGGTCTACATAGTGAGTTCCAGGACAGCTGGGACTACAGGGAGACCCTGTCTCAAAAAGACTGAAAAAAAAAAAAAAAAAAAAAAAAAGAAAAGAGAGAGCAGTATAGAAATTTTAGGGATTGAAATAAATCTTTGAAATATAAAGGGCTTTATTTGAGCATGGTATGTGCATCTAGGCAACCAAGCATAGGTTTGTGTAGAGGTAAGAGGTTCATGATTATGAGGTTTCTAACTGTTCCTGCTCCTTTTGGTTATTTGTGTTTATGACATCGAAGGCCTATCAGTATTTACTTTGCTACTTTCCATTGATTTTGCTTTTTTAATTCTAGGAAAATATGGTGGCATACACCTTTAATCTTAGCATTCAGGAAGCAGAGACAGGCAGATCTCTGTGAGATCAAGGCCAGCCTGGTTTACAT